CCAAAACCTTGCCACGCAAAACCAGCACATTCAGTAAAACCCAGGCATTACAGCTCTGGCTAGAGAACTGGAGCCAGTACTCGTGTTTAACTGGGGAGAAAGGGACAAGGAGGGAGCATTAAATGGAGCACTCCTCTGTGCTCTGAGTACTCCCATCCTTCTGGTAACAGGTAGTCCTGCAAAAATACTCCTGTCAAAGGCAGGAGGAATTGTAGCACCATCCTTACGATGTCCTCCAGTCCCCACATGGCAGATTTCAAGCTGCTCCCAGGCACCCTGAAGGAGGTGTCTCAGCTGGTGTTCGGAGCAGATAAGTCTGGCCACCATCAGGAGTTTTGGTCTGGTGTCCCTGTCCTGGAGACTGAGGCAGGGGGTGGCAGCTACATGAGAAAAGCATGTTTGCAGCTGAATGAGTGCTCCCATGCAGGGCCTGGGCATCCTTCCCGGGGCTGCGGCTGGTCACTGAATGCGTCTCAGTCTGTTTTTAAGGATGGCTGAGGACCAAATTCTGCCGGTCTTGAATCTCTCCTGTCATCCATTTGAAATCTCTAAAGGAAAACTTCTCCTTTTTTTTTTTCTGTCTGTGATCCACAGCTAAAAAGTCACATAAGTGCTGGTGCGCAGTTACTTGGGTGAACATGAGATGCTTTAAAAAAAAACATCTGTGGATCCGTGTAGCTTTTTTTCCTTCACTGTTTGTCTCAGTCAGCAATTTATTCAAGCACATACTGATGGCTGAAGCCCAGAATAACTGATAACAAAGGAAAAATGGTGGATTTTTATTTTACATAATTAATTTTTTTCTGTGTGCAATTGGGATGTAATTGGGGCAATAAATTACCTTAGAGTAAATTAAATGTTTTAGGCAGATAATTAACATCTGGTTGTTGTCAGTAAATAATCCTTTTGCTTGAGAAAACCCATACCACTACTATTACCTAGAAGTCTCTTAAAGAATTTCTGCCTGATTCTGATAGGCACAGATAAAAATTAAAATGTATCATATCAAAGGAAATTCATAGACCTGAATGCATGTTCAGAATCATTAGCTTTGGTGTTGTAATCAGGTGACTGACTCTGAGCTGATTAAAAGCTGCCAAATACTTGAAAAGCCAAGCCAAGTGGCCAGATGTTGCCTGTGGAAGACTCTTCCCTACAGATTTTGCATCAGGCACTTGCGCAGTCCCATTTAAATAGCAAAGAAGAAAGCACGGAAGCGCTGCCCGATGTCCATTGAATTTTGGAGATGCTTGTTTTGAAGGAGTGGAAGTAATTTGGCAGGAAATGATAAGGACATGCATAAACCTGTAACGCTATCTCAAAATCCTACAAAGGAAAATACTGCCAGATTCCAACCTGCTCACCTCTGCTCACATAAATATTATCTGCAACTGTGTCCTGGGTCCTTTAAGTTTTCACATGCCCCAGCTGACTGATTCATACCATCAAAACTCAAATCACTGCACTACATGAAATCCTGTGCACTATGCATCCTTGACAGCCTGCCAAATAGGATGCAAATGTATACATCTGTCAGTTAATCATCATATGTAATAATAGTAATTAACAAATAGCCAGTCAAGCATAACACAAAATTAAGACAATAAACAACTGGACAATCTTCCCTTGCCACAGTCCCAAATGCCTCTACTCTAGGCTGTATTGCAACAGCACCCTGTTTGTTCACAAGATCTGGGCTGACAGCTATTTTTGCAATTATGTGTCCTGAAAGGAGACTCTTTTGTGGAAGAGTGGATCAGTTCTGTGTTTATTACTGTGGTAATTTTGGACCCAATCAGTTGTGTGAATTATCATAGCCAAGCTAAAATTAAAGGCGCTATGAAAATTTACCATCAGCAGAGCAATGATAAAAAATACTTTGGGCCAGATTTCCAAGTTACTCAGAGACTTAGAAGTATCCAGAAGTATTTAAAGGAATTTTCAAACATGCCTATGTGAGCTACTTACTAAAATCTTACTGAAACTGGAATCAGTGGGCAGGAATATGCTAGTTTGCCAGTTTCCTATCTGCAACTTTAATCAGGTGTGTGCCTTTAGAAAGTTCATCAGTCAGGCAGGTGTTTTTAGGAAGTTTGCCCTATGTTTATGAAGTACAGATGACTCCCCTGAAAGTTTAATGCTGATTAAGTTTAGTGGATAGAGCAATTATCCTACAGTAAGTTGCCAAAATTGTCATCCAAACCCCAACTAGAGTGGATTAGGTCCCTTATGAAGGCATTGCTTTCCTAGTATCAGCCATGATTATTTTCAGCTTTGCTTGCTCAGAAAAAGGAAAAGGTGCATATTACTACATGCTCATTATTATTACTATTACTACTACTACTAAATGTCTCCATGGTTTTACCACTATAGTACTATGAGTTTCATGTGGTTTGCTGTCCCAGGGCCAATTCGGTGACCTGGAACCCTCACAAGATGATGGGCGTCCCACTGCAGTGTTCAGCCCTGCTGGTAAGAGAAGAGGTATGTCCCGATTGTACTTGCTTCTCTGATTCTTTCTGACATTTTGCTTCTGAAAATCCTGGATGTTTGCTTCGTAACTGTGTCATAGCTAGTATTTGCTAGTGTTACGAGGATTGTAAAAGAAACTGAGAAGTAGACCTCTAGTTATGTACTCAGGCTGTGACTGCAAAAGGAATTAAAGCAGCTGTCTAGCAGAAATGATAGATCCAATTAATGGCAATGTCTGTACAGAGTTTTGTGGCTTTCCATTAAGAGTATCCATAGTTAAGTCATGGATGCATAGCTGTGTAACCCCACTAGTTTCTGTGTAGCATAAAATGTCTAGTCCTAGACTAGACAAACTAGTCCTTTTAGGATGAATGGTGTGGTATACTTGCAGCATGACATTTGGTCCAGAATCTGGGCATCATTACACTTTCTGGACTTTTGTGATAGATATTTCAGCCCAGCTCGAATCCATATATCCACTTTGGGGCACAGGGAAATAAAAAGGGAAGACTAAGTTCACTTGGAATAAAAAGTAGACATTTCATTTAGTACTAGAATTTGAATTACCCTTCAAGCCTGTAATTTTCATATAACCATCAGTTACTGGGACAGCTGCTATACAACCACCACTTACTAGACAAGCTATTGAAAAGCTGGTTGCTGTTTTGCTAACAGCTGTACAACAGATTGTGTACAAAGTGATCGCACTTAGGAAGAGAGAAGCTGGCTTTTATTTGCCCTCTGGGTCAGTTCCCCAAGACAAATCCTGCCTGGCCGAAGTTGGTACCATCCTTGACCTCTGGCGAGAGCAGATGGCTCAGATTAGGAGAAAGCCAAATTTTTTTCTTCCCTTTCATTTTACTATCTCAGTTTTGAGTTAACACATAAAGATTAGACTTGATGATAAACAGCCAAGTTTTGATTCTTTTTGGACTGGAAATTGCAGTCTTAGGCAACAGCCCTAAGGTGTACCTTAAACTTGGTTGAGGTCTTAACTAGAGCCAGGACATGACCCTCTGCATTTCACTTAAAAAGCTAAAAAGGAAACCTCATGCATTCATGAGCCAGGTTTCTTCACCTTGTTGGTTTCTGGCCCTCCCACAAAGCTGCCTCTCGGAATGGTATCTTGCAACCCAGAAATAGATCTAGCTAGCCGTTTAAAGGCCATATGCTCTTCTGTCCCAAGCTTTCTACACCGCTTAAGCATCCAGTGTGCAGCTGAGGGCTTTGCAGAAAAGAGCTGTGCCTACAAAGAAAGAAAACAATGAAAATCAGAATTTTAGAGACCAAAGCAATTAGAAAAGTGGTGTGATATTATTTAGATTAGTCACCAAATTGGCTTGGTCTGACTCAACCAGAAAAGATGCCTTCCCAGGAAAGGAGGAAAAGGAACCAGAAGAATAAAAAGCAAGATCCAAAAGTGGACTTATGTGTAATAATACTAGGAGGCACAGTGTTGAGCTTTTTTTTAAAAAAATCCCTTGTTTGTGGGAGTGGATTACGCATTGCTGGATCAGGTACCAAGGTGTGCTGGGCACTGAACCGGCTATGAAAAACTTAGTCCACTGAGCAACTAAGTCTGGTTTTGTCCCTTTTTTTGATACTGCTTTTGCTCTTGGACTCATATTCTGCTGAATTTAGGCGTTTGCAATTTCTGGCCCAAAGCGACCCTCCAAACAGTAGTCACATCTGTGCCAACATCACTTTTTTGTGTCTTTGTTTCTATAAGGGATTGATGCAGAGTTGCAATCAAATGCATGCTTCCTACCTCTTTCAACAAGACAAGCACTACGACCTGTCTTACGACACAGGAGACAAGGCTTTGCAATGTGGACGGCATGTTGATGTCTTCAAGCTATGGCTGATGTGGAGGGCAAAGGTAGGACTGCCTGCAATCTATTTGTTTGCATTAAAATAATGCACACCAGATTCAGGGGTTTTTTTCTGAAATCATCATTTTAGAAAATATCTGACCTGAATTCCCCATATATAACATGAAAGAAAGAACATTATTGTTTTCTGGTTTTTTATACTTTTAACAATTCGGCTTCAAAGCACCACACATGATTCTGAAACCTGAACTCCATGGCTTTGCATAGCATTTGCTTTGTGTAACTGTAAGAGTCTAACAGCATAAAACATATACCTAGGAATGTTGTTACAAAGATTTCTGGAAATAAAAAGATGTTTTAATGACATTTAGAAATTAAACATGGCAAACCAAGACTGGAATACCTAGTTTCCTTGCGTACGGTAGATACAAAATCATCTTTTGAAGGAGTAGAGGAAAACTCATCAAAATATGTTCTCTGGGAAATCTGAAAACACCAACTCTAATGATTAATTCATCTGTGTTTGTAGAACGTTGCTAAATAAGTTCTTCCATATATTTATCCAGTTTATTATGTCAACTTGTCCCAGGTTTGTTCAGAGGAGATGACATCACTGTTTTCATTTCCAGAAAGCCTTAAAGATCCTCATGTGCTTCATTAAAACTCTGAAAACAATTCTGAGACAGACATCAAATGTAGCTGGAGGTGTGGGAGTCTGTAAAAGAGGATGCAAGTCTCCATGGTCGCGATAGCTGCTGTGCTAACTGGGGTCTCCAGGGTGGCAGGCAGTTTTAGCCACATGTCTCTCTTTTACTCCAAGCCTTTCTCCCAGGGCTGTGCTAGCTCTACTCTGTTTTGAAATCTCTATACACAGAGGGATAATGACATGGGCTTTTAAGTCAGTTCTGCATTGCCAGAACAGATTTAGCAGGGACATGCATCCATTACTCAGAGACATTTCTTCTTCTAAACCCCAATTTTTCAGTATGCCTTGTACTGCTTTTTCTCTTCTCACACCCTGCTTGTAATATTGACAAAATAGGATGTGTGTTTCTTAAACAGTTTATCTATTCCAGCTGTTTATTCCCCTTCCTCCCTCATAAAGCTGGATCCTTTGTTTGTGGCATCACAGCTGGTGATTGCAGGAACAATTATGATGTCACAGAAAGAGGATTATGACTTCTGCCAGAGAAGAAAAAGCAGGATTTGCTGCAGCTCTTAAAAACAGAGCTTCTGAGTTTATATGGTGTCCATTAGAAAAGAAGAGAGAAAAACAGCACAGAGGCAAGGCAGTATCTAAACAAAATGTGCATTTTCACAGGCATCAGGCCAGGCTCTAAAAGTGTATTTGCCCCTGTTGCATTTAACTGAAAAAAGAAAAATGATTCTTGGAAAAGCCCCCAGCACATCACCTCTGGAAGATTAAAATCCCCTATTCTGAAAATAGCAGGAGACTCCCCATGTCCGGAACTCAACGCCTTCTAGAGACCCTTCTCTGTGCCAGTCCAGGCTGTCCGAAACCGTGCTCAGCCTCTCTGCAAAATCTACCGAGGGTACCATTCATCAGAGGCGTTAGCAATATTTTGCTGAGAACCAAGCTAGTGCCCCATGCTTATTTTGCAGAGGTGGCTATAAGGGAGTCAGTGGCAAGAGCCAGAGACAAATGAGCTCTACGTAGCAAAGTGTTCTTTGTCTCATAGACTCAGATCCTTAATCTGTCCCACAGAGACTTCTGAGAGGTAACTTGTGCTGGTGCTTTGGCGAGTGCTGAACGGTCCTTTTGCTGTTTTGGTTCACAGAACAGATAGTCACGTAACTTTTTTTCTCCCTCTGTCTCTAAAGGGAACCACAGGATTTGAAGCACAAATCGATAAGTGCTTGGAACTTGCAGAATACCTATATAATAAAATAAAGAACAGAGAGGGGTATGAAATGGTGTTTGATGGAAAGGTATGTATTGCAGCTTCTTCCCAGTTGGTCAACAGCACTTCCCAGTTGATCAACAGCCTGTTGAGGTGCTACCAACAGGTCAAAACGAACAGCACATGACAGAAAGCAGTGCCCCTTGTAACAAAACCTGTTGTGCCAATATCTGTCTCTCTTCCTCATGGGATCCAGGGACAAGGGGGATGAGGCAGCTGTGCAAAGATTTCAGTTTGCACAGTTTCACCCCACTGAAACGAAACACTGGCATCTCAGGCTAACACAGCACACGCTTCTCTGTAGGCAACAGAGAACAACATCTCTCCAGTTGTGATGGCTGGGGACAGGCCTCGTAGAGACCTGTTACAAAGTTAGCTGGTGTTTTGCCTGTAAAAGAGAAAAGAAAAAAAAAGATCTCTTTTTACATCCTACTTGTGGTGGCTTTTGCTGTCTGTGCTTGCCCTGGAAGGTTTTGTCTCTCAGAACATTGCTCCCTGGTAGCGATCACTTAGCATGTGCCTAAGTGCTCTGCAGCACAAGGATAAATGTCACTATGTTTCTTCAGAGATCACAGGCTCATACCCGCGTGCCACTATGTGATTTATTTCCCCCGCCTCACACATCATCACTGAATTAGGTCCACTGGGTCTGATGATGAGTAAAGGAACTGGCAGCAGTAGGAGCTGCTGTAACTCACACATTTAGCATCCAGCAAAGAGGAGCATAGCAAGGCAGGCAACTGTCGGGAGATTGCAAAAATACACAAAATGTTAACTAGTTCTTACTTTATGCCTTTCTACTTGTTGCTCCTGTATAAGTTGAACTAGCTAAGACGCTGTGGTGCATGCATATTAGTACAGCAGCTAGCCAAATCAAACTGAGAAGTAATAAATTTCATTAAATGTAAGAAAATCTTAGACTGTCTCATGCACGACCTGTGACTCCTATTTACAGAACCAGATTCTATATTATTCTGTCACGTAATAGAAGAAATGACACAGTCCTCACTGTGTAAAAATTATCTGTAATATGGATGTAAATATGTAATATGGATGTATCTGTAATAAGGATGTAAAAATTATCTGTAATAGACTCTTGCCTTAGCCACATGGTCCCTTCAGCCTCTGGACGGGACAGCACCTATAAAATCTAGATGCCGCTCAGTAGGGAATAAATATATTTGCACAGCTGGATGATGTGTTTCTGCATCTGACATCCTGGGAATAAATTGCCTAAAATTATCTTTTCTGCATTAATAATGATGATGACTCTCAGCGGACCACAATAATGAAAACCATTGACTGCTGTCACAATATGATACATGAGAGGGAGGGAAAGCATGAACTTAATTGCAATTGAGATACTATGAGCATTTCTTACAGTGCAAACCATTACTATTCCGTGTTTAGCCTCAGCACACAAACGTCTGCTTCTGGTATATACCTCCCAGCTTGCGCAGTATGGAAGACAACGAAGAAAGAATGAGCCGCCTTATGAAGGTAAGTGTGTCCTCCAGGACAGCATGCAGTGAACAGTGAAACCCTTGCAGGCAGGCAACCCCCAAAATGATCTCCCAGAGCACGGGGCAAGGTCACCTCATGACATTCTGGAAAATGACACCTCCATGGTCATTTTACTGCATGTTAGTCTGGCACCACCTTATGCTGGTCTCCAAGTTTGGTATTCCCTGGATTTCCTTATCTCTAGACCACTTATTTGCTCTGTGTATATTTACTGAAGTTACAGTGAACTGCAATCACTAAACCCAGCAAGTGCAACAAAAACTCAACAATACCATGGCACTCTGGCATATGAAAAGAAAATGGAAAATGATGGTAACAATATATTTTGAGCACTACGAAAAACAGCTACTGTGTCCCTGTCAGCAATATTGAGAAAGTAGCAGGGGAAATTCCCCAGTGATTTTAAGAGCAGAACAAATAGGGTAAAGCCAATGTCTTTTCAATGAGACATTTATTCCTTAGTGGAGGTTAATGTTTTTATCAATATTGGATGTAATTTCATTTTAACTGCTTCTTGTAGCTCTTCAGCTTTTTTTTTAAAAATAGAAAACATACTGTGTTCTGTTAGACTAATAATAAGGATTATATTAATAATGAAAATAATGGTAATAATCATAATCATCATCCCCTGCTTTCTGTTACGCTGCAGGTGGCACCAGTGATAAAAGCCAGGATGATGGAGTATGGCACGACCATGGTGAGCTATCAGCCCCTGGGAGACAAAGTGAACTTCTTCCGGATGGTCATCTCAAACCCCGCAGCAACTCACCAAGACATTGATTTCCTGATTGATGAAATAGAACGCCTGGGACAAGATTTATAACAACTGGGTGTGAAAGTCTGTTCCTGGACCTCTAAGTAGACAATTAAGTTGTCACAAACTGTGCGAATGTATTTGTAGTTTGTTCCAAAGTAAATCTATTTCTATATTGTGGCGTTGGAGTAGAGTACAGTTTAAAATCAAGAAACATGGCTCCTTTAAAGTCCTTTCCTGAGTTTTAGAATACCTCCTTAATAATTAGCTGCACAAAAAGCTGCATTGAAACAAATATGGAAGAACAGAAGATACTTAAAATTTTATCCCCAATTTTAACACAGTGACTACTTTGAATTAAAAGCAATCAGACCGAATGATGCCAGATTTGCCCAAAATGATGACAAAGTTAAATAGGGGGAAGTGGGAGGGGGCGGTGAGAAGCAGAGTATACAAGCTCTATGTTTAAAAGTGAAAGTATTTTGCCTTTTTCGTAGTATTAGAACAGAATTTCTAATTTACCTATAGCAACATTTCAAATGTATTTAAATAGGTATAGTTTTACAAAAGGAAATATATATATATAAAAAAATCCTATTTTGTAAACTATATATTTTTATTTTATATGGGTTATAAAACTGCAAGGACAGAAGCTGAAAATTAACTAGGATTCTTTTTCTTTTGATGGAGGTGCCTCAAATATTTATTACTGCTTATTTTAAAATATAAGCCCACATTACTACATTCTTAAGAGGTACCAGTACCTCATTTCTCCATGTCATGGATTGTACATCTCCAGGGTTGATTACTGAAAAACCTCAAGAGTACTGCAGCTCTCAAAACCACTTAATAAGATCAATTACAGTACAACAATAGGATGCTATTATTCCTAATTATGTTTCCCACTTGGCCTAACTAAGCAGACGCACAATCAATATACAGTGCTAACCAAGACTGAAATAAGGTTGTATTTGGATGGTTTCTGTGTTCTGTGGTAAAAAAGCCTTTCAAAAAAAAAAAAAGTCACATGTCTGAATAAATGCTGCTCTCATTACCATTTCTTCTATGAGCAGTCCAAAACCACACTGAAAATTAAAATTGACTGAAATTCTTACTAAAGAAATAGCATGAAACCTCACAGTGACATTGAGAGGGTAAAGACTTCTTACAGATGTACAGTTCTGCCAGACAAGGCCTAAATTCAATGTGACTGTAATCTGAGTGACAGGGATGGGGTCTAAGTAACAAACCGCTTTGTCAAAGGTTTCACCCGGTGCTGGACTCCATCCTTGTCTGCAACAGCCTTTGAAATTGCAGAAAAAACTGAGATAAGGCTGTATCTGCCTAGAACAGCCCACACGGAGCCTCACAGCCTTCTTAGAAAGCACGGGCACAGCTCTTGCAGAATTCATGTGCTGCATTATTCCATAACATTAGAGGTGACCCTGGCATGGAAATTGAAATTTATCCTCTTTCCCCCCAACATCTGGAAGTGCTGGAAGAGTTCTGCGGCTCGGGCCTGTCTACTTATAACCCTACTAAAGTTTTGGTTTTAACTTTGCCTAAACGGCCAAACTTGTGTTTGTAAAGCAATATTGTTTTGCTGCCTCTAAAATACTTGAAGAGGAAAAAAAAAAAGTGCAATGTGGTTTTAATTTCATCTAAAATAGATAAATGGAGTATTGATTCAATGTAATATCATGAGGACATGAAGTAAGAGGAAATAAATTGTGTCTGTAATTGTGTTGCCTTTATTATATTGATAGTACTGTTTTGTCACCTCAGATTGAGGCTGTGCACTTTAGATTTAAACTGTACAATGTTGCAAATCAACATGTGTTGCTGTATAAGCTTGTACAATATATTATTGGTACGTCATTATTTGTGTGGTAGTAGTATTGACTCTTGATATTGTAAGAACTGCATTCACGCCGGTCCCTCTACTATATCTTTGCTTGGTATTAACCTCTCCTTGTCAGCTTTCGGGCAGACCTCTCGCCTCACTCTGGTGGACTTCCATTGCTACCTGTGATGCATAGTGTTGCAAGTCAAGCTATAGAGGAAATATCAATTCTATCAGGAAGGACTTCAATGTGACCTTTGCTAAACGTGTCAAAACCAGCAGACTAATCACTGAAATACTGAGTAGAGCAGCAAATTATATTGGTTTTTTTCTTGCTGGGAAAAAGGCAAGCAAAGAGCTTAAAAAGTAAATAGTACAGGGACAATGATGAAGGCGATCAGTAGCCTGGTTACATCTTGCATGTGCAATTCTGTTTCAAAGTGCTAAGTGCAAACAACATATTTATTAGCTGTATGTGCCAATCCAAGATTTACATTCGGTGTTCCAGGAGAACCAGCATTTTTCTTTCCCACGTTACTGTACTTATTGCAGCCAGGAAAGAGCGGCATAGCAATCTGTTCTTGTGTTTGACCAAAGTATCTTATCTGTGGTGTTGATCTAAATCCAAATAAAAGTGTAAAACGTGACTCTGGGTCTTTTCATTAGCAGCACTGATGGGCACTCGGAGCATTTACCACTCGTGCCATTTCGGAGCAAGGCCCCAATAAAGAGAATGTTTGATTGTAACTTTCTGTGTCTCCTGCTGCATTTTTTCATGACAAGATGCATTCAGTTAATTATTGTAACATAAAAAAACCAATTCTATCACCAGACCCTTTTTGAGGTGATACTCAGCACCAGCATACAAGTGTAAATCTGCCATCTGGTATTCCTTTACCTTATTTTTACAAGGCGGATTTAGTTGCTTTATTCTCCTCAGACAGGCTCAACAATTTTTTATGTTTTGTTTTGTCTTTTTATTCCACGAGCACTTATCCCCAAATTAACCATAGACTCTAATCAGCCTCCCACACAGCAGTGGAAGCAGTCGGGCTTCCCAGGATGACACAGACCACACAATGGCAACAATTTAAAAGGGCCATGAAGTAAAAAAAACCCAACTGATAAAATAATTAAGATTTTAATCCTCATGTATCCCCTGGCCCAGGGCCTCATTCCTCCAAAATCTGCCACCTGTCTGCTCTATTTTCCTTCCACCCTCTGAAGTGGTGCCCGGTGTGATGCTAGCAGCAGAGACAGAAAACAAAATGATGTCATGAAAGCAGCAGTGGTCAGAAAGCTTATGCCTGAAATAAGATTTTCTGTATAATTTCTTTAAGTCTGCAGCAGAATTTGAGATTAATGCCTATGCCAAGTGCCCACACAGAGCCCAGCTAGGAGCTCTGTAAGGAAATAAAAAGAGGGAGAAGATGTGGGCATAAGATTCTATCCTTACTGCGACGTAACTCTTCATTTGGCACTGGGAGAGGCAGCACTGGTTTAGTATTTTTGAGTACTACTGCTGCAGGAGTGCGTGAAGGTTGGGCTTTGCCGTGTAGCTGTTGCACCCAGAGCTGCATGGAGTGTCCCTGAGAGACGGAGGGCTGGAATGGATTTGCCCAACCGAGTTGAGCACAGAGTCCTGGCTGTGCTCAAGGAAGGCAAAATAAACTTGCCGAGCAAGTGGGAATTCACACAGCAGCCCGAGAGCCTGCTCTTTACAAAGGCTGGTTCCTTCGGCACTCTCCTAGGAGAACAGAAGCTCGGGTTTGCTATTTCTCTGCTCCTTATCACAAAACCCCCTGCACAAGAGCACCCTGCACAGGGACAATCATGGATCTAGCAGAGGAAATGACCTAATTCGTTGCAGCAGCATACCAGCAAGGTGATCTCCAGTCTCTGACTGGCAGGTTCCTGCACTGCTGTACAGTCCCATAAAGCTCCCAGGAGCTGATGCCCCCATGGCAGACTCTGCCTCCCCCCCCCACCCCACTGTGCTGCTTCTGCCTCTCCACACCTGTCCCCTGCTCCACCTTTTCATGCCTCTCTTCCTTCTTGCCCCTTTCCCACAACATGTATGTATGTGAGCATCTTAACCATCTTCATCACTTGATGGAACCTTTTTTTTTTCCTAAGGAGATTAAGGTTCCTTTGAAATGCAACCTACAAATTCAATTAAAACCCCACCACAACAAGACTGGGGTCCTCAATCCAAGAAGCGGCTGTTCTTTCCTTTATCATGGGGTGGTCCTGGTCCAAGCTAACTCCAGGAGAGGCACAGTACCAATAGGTGATCCCATCCTGGAGCCGGTCTGCTGCAGAAGGAGGCAGAGCTCCAAGGAAGAGCCCCGCAGAGCTCAGGGAGGCCTCAAAACCTGCCTGGAGCCATCCCAATTGACTCATGTCCACAGTCCACTGTGTTTAGTGCTGTTGATAAAGTGTTTTGTAGTTCGCTTCTTAAACCTGGGTTTAATAAAATATGGTTTAGTAAAGCTTAGATAAACCAGGTTCTGTGACACAGAGACTGGCTGAATGAGCAAACCCAACAGTGCCTGTTATGTGACCTCATGCAACTTTGACATACGTGCACATGATCTCCTCTGGGGTTTTACTCTATGGTGCACTATTTCATCCACAGAGACACTCTTCCCACTACTGAGGATACCCATTCTTCCCTAAATGGATGCTGTGTCAGGAAATGGACAGTGCAGAACTGCATCACGTCAATAAAATACAGCAGAATAGTTTAGTGATGATGCCTATGTGCTAATAGGAACGATGAAACAAATTCAGCTGTTGAAACAGCTATTACAGGCACCATCCAGTGCCTGCAGAACTGCAGACCAAGAACTGCATCTGCACCAAAGATGTACATCTCAAATTACATAAACCCTGTAGGGTTTTTTGTTGTTCATTATTATCATTTGCGGGGGGGCACAAACACTGGCACGTGATTCTGAAGTCCACAGCTATAAAGAACAGCAAGACAATATGTAAAAGAAATTTCTTGACATGATGTTTGCCTGGATATTCAGTAATTAAATCCACTGGGGGGGCTAATGCACAAACAACAGTGTAGGTGGGCTCTCCTGCAGCTCTTGCAAATCCTCGGTCCTGGGGCCATGGTGTTCAGAGCACAGGAGAGGCTGGGGGAAAATGAGAGGCAGAAGAAGGCCCCGCTGGCCTGACAACACAAGACGGACCACCCAAGGACATGGCTGATGAGGTGGTTGGGTCTCATCGATTTTGGCTACCCCTGAATGCTGCTTGCTCTTCTGCAAATGGCCTGCAGGAGGGATCCATGGAAAAGCCCTCACCCACCTACAGCCCACGGCTCCAAGGCAGGCAAGTTTAAGTATCAAGTTAGTTGCATTAAACTCATGTTCCACCATGGCTAAGGAAGGAACAAAGCAAGACAGAGCTCAAGGAAATGTAAATCTTTTATCTGACTTAGCCAGGCTAACTGCCAAGTAGAAAATCATTCTAGGTAGAAAGCGAGCCCTGTAGAAAGCCACAGGATACTGTCTTTAATGTGCTAATGCCTTAGACCTATAATGTCCGAACTATCAGCTTTCTACCTGACCAGCCTAACTAAAGGGAGTAATTCAGCCATTAAGGGAAAGGCAAGTGCTGCAGCTAGAAGAATTACAGACCTGACTTTGCTCTTCACTGAGAAGACAGAACGGCTGCAGGTCATGGCACTGTTCATTACAGCAGTGAAGGATGCGGGTGAATAGATTTTACACTGTACTTTGGAGCAAGAAATTGGGTCTGAGATTAGAGTCAGAGAAAAAGGAATACGTACCTCTTTTTGTATTAGAATAAAAGCCTGTGTATGTTGCTGCTGAAATTCTTGCATTACAAAGATGAAAAAAACCTGTTCTATAAATTCACATTGCATGAACAGAGCAAAGGTAATTTTCTCAGAGCACAGAAAAGTCACAAGTCAAGCAAGGGCGGAAACCTCCAGTTCTCCCACTACTCTGCATGTCCTCACTCTGGCTGATGCCTGGTGCCAAGTCTTCCAAAGCCATTCAGATACCTAACTTCCATGATGTGAACCCAGATTGCTCAATCCCAGTCCTCTGGACTACTCACT